AAACCTCTCACATGGAAAGCAATGGTCTGGGGCCAAAGCAATGGAGAGCACAGTCTGTGCATCCAGGAGTAAGGGAGGGCTACAGCCCCAGCCCTCGTCCAGCCTCTCAGCACAACCAGAGGTGTGGGCTTGCAGGGAAATGAACAGACAGAAGATGCTCAGCAGCAGCTTTCCTGTAGAAGGGAAGAGAAAGAGGAAAACTGGTATGAACAGTCTCATTCAAAGGCATTAATTTTGCACTGTCTGGGCAAATAATGCCAATACCCTTAATGTGCCCCTGTCAGCTGCTTTGCCTTGTTCGCAGTGGCCCGTCTGTGTGCTGGAGGGCACTCCCCACTGTCATGCCTCTGCTGCTTCTCAGTCATTGATAAAGCTCTTACTTTCTTCCTTGGGGGGGTGACCTCTTCCCAGATATGGTAGAGATGATGCTGATGCAGAACGCTCAGATGCACCAGATCGTGATGCAGAACATGATGCTGAAGGCTCTGCCGCCGGCGGCGTTCGCACAGCGCGCAGGACCCGGCTCTGCCCCACTCCAGCACACGCAGCAGGTAACAACCCCCCGGGCCTGAGGGGCATCCTCGTTCACACGAGGCGATGGCTGATCACCTGGGGAGGATACAGGGCCTAGGCAAAACACACAGAGAGTCTGGGACATCTAACAGCTGTGTACACCTTCAAACCCACAGCGCCAGGAGCCCATTTCTGAGGCAGCACAGCCTTTTTGCCGTGAGGAGCACTGTGACAGGACCCCATGGAAGAATGTTTCCTCACAAGGGCAGACTGGATTCAGTCCAGCTCTGAAAGCGACCTGGCCTGTAGGGTTGAACCGCTAACACAAGACACCTTACACTGAGTATCTGCTGCTGCAGGTCCCTGGCTGGAAACAGCAGGGGAAAAGCTGGAGAGGGGCCTTTGGCAAGGGCAGGCAGTAGTAGAACAGTGGGGAATGGCTTTAAACTGAAAGAGGATAGGTATAGATTAAATACTGGGAAGTAATTCCTCCCTGTAGGGTGGTGAGGCCCTGGCACAGAGAAGCTGTGGCTGCCCCATCCCTGCAAGTGCTCAAGGCCAGGTTGGACAGGGCTTGGAAGCTAGTGGAAGGTGTCCCTGCCCATGGCTGGGGCTTGGAATGAGAGGGTCTTGAATGTCCCTTCCGACCCACACTATTCTGTAATTCTATGAATATTTGTGTTACAAATTATTTTATTAGTAAATGCTGACCTGGCAGTATCAAATGGATTAGAGCTGAAACGCAGATTTTGTGATGGTACCTGGAGCCTCTCTGCTCTGGTTCCTGCCTCACTGAAAATTAGTTGCTACTCAGCTCTGAAAAGACAGATTCTTAGATATATTTTAGTATGTAGAGCCCTATAGGGATTTTTTCAAAATGTGTCCAGTGCCTGATGAGGGGTAGGTAAATTTGAACATATCCTTAAATGCCCAATTCCTAAACTATTTTTAACAAGGTGATAGAGCTCCTTAGGATCCTTAAGTGCTTTGGAAAAATGTTCAGTCTCTCCTCCGTGGCATTTATTATCAAAGAAGAAAGGAAAGTTGATCTTTGTAGAGGAGGGGAGATGCTAGTGTTGCAAAACCTTCCTCTGTACTTTTCCTACCCCATGACCTTCAGGCTAACTTTTCCTTGTGCTGAAAGAAAGAATGCATCCCCTGATCCCTCCGCTTCTCCAGGCCATCCTGTCACTCTGCATTTCCCTGGCATTGACTGATGGAATAAGTTGGAGGGAGTGGGATCTGAGTGCCTCTGAGTATCGGGGGAAATCTGAAGTCACCAAGTCTTTGTTGGACCTTCTGAACTGGTGGTTGAGTGGGACCACAGCCCCTCAGCCAGAGACCCTTCCCATGGGGGCACAGGTTTCTCCACCCACACTTTGTCTCTCTCCAACAAGGACCTGCAGCTTGCTGCTCCCCTGGCAGTGAAGGCAGATCGTCCCAGGCCACCCGTGGTGCACCACCACCACCACTACCCTCCCCCAGGGGTGCTTCCAGTGCCTCCCAGGAGCTTCCCATCCCCATCCACGGCGCACCACTGGACCTGGACATAGGCAGCTTGCCCTCTACCCAGCCTAGGTACGTAAGCAGGCAGCTGTGACATACCCTTCCAGCCCATTCTTCCTGCAAGGGTGGGGTAGCAGGGCAGATTGTGGAATAAACATGAGGATCAGACAAGATCTACAGGTGATACCAAGCCATGTCCCTGCCTCACAGAGCCCCTGCCCTGCCATGCTGTGGGGCTCTGCTCTGCAGGGGCTCTTACCCTGGGTTCTGGGTCTCCCTGTGAACCCAGCAGTCACCTGCTAAACAAGGGGGTTGTATGTGTTTTACACTCAGGCTAAGGTTCCCATCAGGATTTGCATTCTTAAAACACTGCTGAGACATTTGCTAATTGGAAATTCTTGGGGAAAAAAAACCTCACCAGCCGAGAAAAAAACAGTACAAAGGGAGAGGAGCATCAGAAATAAAGCTGAACCTGTGCCTGCAGCTCGGGGAGGAGGGTTTCACGTGCAGAAATGGATGATGCTCTCGGGTCTGTAGAGCCCTTGAGCCCTGCACAGAGCTCAGCAGTCAGCTCCTCCAGGTGCTCACTTGCTTTGTTGCCTTCCTCTGAGCTGGTCCTGGTTGGCTTGTTCGGTGCTAGAAAGTTCTTACGTGCCAAGGCTGGTAAAGAAATGCACTTTGCTGAAGCACAGGGGGTGGCACGGGGACACGCTGCTGCATCGGTGAGAACACAGCTTTTACTTCTGTGCTGTGGCTCTTTCAGAGCCTTAGTGAACAGAAGGACAGGATGGAGGCAGCTGCAGCCCTGGGCCCCTGTGACCTGCTGGCAGGGGTATCTATATGGCCTTCTTTAGCAGAGGATTTGAATTCCTGAACAGATTATTTACCTAATGGGATTATAAGGGATAAACATTTCTACCTATTTCCCTTTTACATGGGTTTGTAATCTGAACCAGTAAAGAACTCCTGGCTCCTTTCGGAATCAGTGCAATTCGCTGTTTAAGCTGTCTCCTTCCTCTTCTTCAGCTGCCTTTCACCATGAGTTATGAGACCAAACACCTTCTTGCATCTGCAGCACTGCTGGCTATTACCAAACACAATAAACACCTCTTTCTTGTTGCAGGTGGCCCACATACTGACAGGATGGGATCCTTTGCAAGTGGACCATAGCCTTTCTAAAAGTAATAAAATCCTGATGTTCTTCCTTGAGTATTGACACGTCTTTTTCTTCAGCAACATAAGTCAAGCACTTTTCTCTCCTTTACTTTTCCCACTAGTTTTCAGAGGGTAGGCTTTAATCCATGCCCATGCTATCCTCTTCTTTTTGTTTTCATTTACAGCTCCTTAAAAGGCTCGAAGTTTTTATCAGGCAACACTTTTTCATGCTCTCAGCAGCCTGGTTGTCCTTAATATAGATGAACAATGATTTCGTACCACTTTCTCAATGTCTTCCCACCTTCTTCTGTTTTTAAAGCAGAGAACATCTGTACATTGGGTTTGCCTTGTGCAGTTTGCAAGTGAGTCTGATTAAGATGACCCAGGGACCTAAATTTCATTGGGAACGAAGAAAACATAGTAACAGCCACTGCAGGAAGCTAGTGGTGTGCTGTCTGTGCTCCAAAAACAATTAATGAATAATTTATTTACTATGTAAAACCTACCTTGCTCTTTGCCCTCCCTGCTCTGTTGTCTGTGCTCGGTGTGTGAGTCAATCAGACAGTGTGGATCAATCCACTGCTGTGGAGATCAGAGAAACCCACTGGAGGCTCTTTAGTGGTGACTGGGTTGGACGCAGTGCCAGGACCGGGGGCACCAACAGCCTTTAACAACCCCAGCCAGCCCACCTGGGACCCCAACATTCCCATTTAAGCTCGGGCCTGGGGCTGCTTGTGGCTCCTGTCAACCCTGTTTGTTGAGTTGCTGGCCCTTGATGGGCTGGGAACCAGGACATGCCATAAGGAATGGTGCTGTGCTTGTGGAGGGATTTGATCTTTCTCTTTCGAGACTCTTATAACTCTCTACAACTTCTCACTCTCTGCCTGAAAGAGGAAATGGCCTCAAGCTGCACCACAGAAGGTTTAGACTGGACATTAGGAAGAAATTCTTAACTGAAAGGTTTGTCAAGCACTGGAAGAGGCTGCCCAGGGAAGCAGTTAAGTCCTCCCCCATCCCTGTGGGTCTCTAAAAGTCATGTAGATGTGGCACTCAGGGTCACGGCTTAGTGGTGGGCTTGGCCGTGCTGGGTTAACAACTGGACTCAAATATCTTAGAGGACTTTTCCTACCCTCAGGATTCTATGAGCCAAATCTGCTGGTTTGGGCTGTGCATGGCAGGTTGAGCAATAAATGGTGGTCAGTGTGTGCTAATGCAAGTGCTTTCAGTGTCTGCTGTTTAACTATTGTGTGCAGGCTGTAATTGGCTCCTCCCTTTGCAAACCTTGCTGTGTGCAGCCCTGGCTCAGGAGAGCATTTCCTCCCAAGGATGGGCATGTGAAATGGTGCCTGCAGAGGCGTCTCACAGCCTCATTCAAGTCCTGGAAAGCTTCTGCGGATTAGGCATGAACCCTCTGCCCAGCATCAAACCCCAAAATGTTTGAGTCACACGCAGCTTCCTTGGATGAAAGATGTCCTCAAAGACAGGACGAGGCTCCTGAGCAAGCAGGGTGGCTCACATCTCAGCCTCAGGAGAGAGCCTGTGCAACCCCAAAAGCTACTCTGCATTGTCCCACCAGGGCCCCTGCAGCTGCAGCCCAGTGAAGCACTAGCAAAAGCCTGGCAGATGCAGGTTCTCCTCCTGCTCTGTGCATGTTCCTTGAGGGCTGTGGAATTGCTTTACAATTTCTGAAAGAGGCCTTTGGATAAAGCCTGGCTGAGTAACGCCAAGTCCCCATCTCTGCCCCCGAGGCTCAGCCAGGCTGACTCGCTGACACTCTGTGCTGGGAGTTAAACTTTAATATGAACCAGGGGAGAGGAGCCCAGGCGTGACTCAGCCTCCCATGTTCTTCCCCTCCCCACTGGAGAGGGTGGTGTGGCAGGACAGGGATCGGGACAGGACACAGCAGGGAGCACCTGCGGCCCAGGGGCTGCCCTGGTGATGGAGCCCTGTGACCCACACGGGAAGAGAGTTGCTGTTGTCGGAGGTGGCCTGGTAGGAAATGCCCTTTAGCTGCTGCATGACTGTGTTTGCCAGGGAGCTGGGGCTGTAAAAGCACTGCCTGAGCGTGGTTGGATGTTTGTCTTGAAATCATTCCTCTGTGAGATGATGGGGCATCAGAAAGGGGCTGGTTTTTTTCCTGCTGTGGGAGGCTCTTGTCCTTTTCTCTGAGGAAGGGTTTTGAGTGGTGGTGGAGCAATGGTGCCCAGGTACATTAAATAACAGGCCTCGATGGGCTGCCAGATCCCCCTGCCCCTTGGCTGTTTCTAGCTGTAACCAAGTCACCAGTGTGAAATGCTTTGCAAGGACTGAGACTCAGTAAATGCCAGGCTAAGAGGAAATGCCTTCCTCTGCCCACTTTTGTTTGGGAATGGTTTTCATCCCCTGCTACTTGCATAGTGGTCTGACTCTAAAGGCCAGGCTGGATGGGGCTCTGAGTAACCTGGTCTAGTGGAAGGTGTCCCTGCTCATGGCAGGGGGTTGGAATGAGATGGTCTTTAGGGTCCCTTCCTAACCCAACCCTTTCTGTGAGTCTATGATCCTATGATAGCATGGAGCATTGCAGCACCTAACATCTCTCTCTTGACTTTTTGGACATTAGCTTCTTGGAAAAGAGTGATGACATAAGAGTCTGTAGTTCTGACAGCAATTAGTGATGGAAATAAACAAGATAAATTGATTTAAATAACAAACAGGACATATTCGTGCTGTTCTCCCCCAATGTGTTCCCAAGGGAATGCTGCAGCACCCGGAATTCTATTGAGGAAGATAAACACAGTCCAGAGAGGAGCTGTGAGCTTGCCTGTACCAGCTCCTGCTATCTCTGGCTGAAGAGATTAACCCTGCTGCGCTCAGTCACTGTGTGCAAACAAGCCTGAGCTTGGTATGACTTCATATGAAGAGTTTTGATGGGTGGCTTTGGTCTTGGAGACTTTGCAGACACATCAGGTCTGCCAGAGGACTGCTCTTCGGCAAAAAGTCCTCTAAGGCTCTTGGTCAAAGGACTTACCTGTACATGCTGAGCTGCATCCCCTGGTCACTGCTTTCCCTTGATGCATCTCAGTAGTGACCTGTGGAATACTTCATCCACCATTCCTGGTCCTTCTCTTGTAGGTGGGCGCGTTAAATGCCTGTTTCTTTGCTAGACGAGGTTTCCATGTTGATGTTTACGAAGCCAGAGAAGGTAAGCTCAGCCTGATCATTACTGTGTGAGCTCACTGAAACCACAGAAAAAAAAGAAATCTGAAAGTGTGACAGTTTGGGGATATCCTTTTCACTCTTCCCTTTAGGTCCTGGGGTGGGGGGGGAGCACTTATTTGAAGTATGTTGCCTTGTGTGGAGAGAACCCACCCTTCAGCTACTAAAACAATGCCCTTTTTATGTTCTTGGCTTAAATATTGATTCAAATCCTCACCTTTCAAACTTAGTCTCTGCACGAAGCATTACAGTCCAGAGCTGTACCAGAAGGAGAGATGGAGTGCTCTCAGAAAGCCTCCAAGTCCTCAGGGTGCCACAACAAAGAAATCATGACTTAGAGCCAAGGTGCTGGCTGAAAGGCAGAGAAATCGTTCACCTTCAGTATCTGTCAGCTGGCAGACAAAGAGAACCTGGGCAGAGGTGGCAAGCCAAGCAGCAGGCGAAAACGACACCATGGCAGGTGAAACTCAGGCATGCAGTGAAGGGAGGGAGAAGCCACTCCTGACATGTGATCTCTGTGGAAACTCCTCCTGCTCTGACAGACATCAGGACGGGCAGTTCTGCTGCATGGCTCACAGTTGCTAGAAGTTCCACAGGTTCAAAAAGCCTCTGATTGCCTTCTGAGTTGGATGGATTTCACTGCTGTACTCCAGTTTTTGGCCCATTGCTTACGGTGAGATGCATGAGGAGGCTCTGCCCCCTGCACTGGCCAGGCAATCTGGGAAGGCTGAGTGAGGCAATTCTGAGGAGGAACAGGCTCGTACCCAGACATTTCTAAATGAACAGGAGTGAAGAAGGTGACCTGCCAATGTCCCAGAAAGTGTCAGTCTGTGGGGTCTCAGCAGAACCTGCCAGGCATTCATCGCTCAGCCCTCTCCATTTAGAGGGGAAATGGTTCTTAATGATAAGGGGCCCCTTGGCACTTCCCTTTGCAAGACTGGGCTGCAGCTGCTTCTCCCTGGCTAAAGGTGGCCCAGAAGCTGCTCAGCCCAACACCTAAATGTGCCTTTTGACACTTGCCCTCTCTGCACCCAGAAAGGGAGGATGGGGACTCCCCACTGCCCCTCCTGCCGTTGCTGCAGGGGGTTTGGAGATGCTACCCAGACCAGGCTGTGGTGTCAGTGCCTCCGTAACCAACTGTTCTTCCCACGCAGACATCCGAGTGGCCAGCTTTGCCCGTGGCAGAAGCATTAACTTGGCCCTGTCTCACAGAGGACGCCAAGCCCTCCGAGCTGTGGGGATGGAGGAGCAGGTACCCTGGCAGATCCTGTTGGTGGTGGGCTCTCTGTGGTTAGAACACTCTTGACTTCAGCTGGCGATGGACAGGCTCTCTTCTGCTCCTCAAGCATGCAGAGGTAGCTCTGCTTTCATGAGGGTGGAAGTAGATGTCTCCCAGGTAGACCTCTCCCAGGCAGACCTCTTCCACTGCATGCCTGCAGCCTGGCTCTCCCCTGCTCCATAGCACAGCTGCCAGCAGGATCTCCCCCAGCCTGGAGGCAGCACCCAGCCCCAGGCAGCTGGGCTCTGCTCCTGGCAGTGGGTGCTTCCCCAGGACACCAAACACTCAGGCAACACCTACCAGTGTTTACCTCCCTTCCACGCTCTCCTTCCTCCTGGAGGTGAGGGCAAACAGGGCAGGAGTAGACTGACTCCCAAAAGAGCTGATGTCCTAAAGCAGGATGCAATAAAGGGGTCTGGTTTCTGCACTGACATGTCCAAATTCTCCCACAAAACCTTCAATCTGCAAGGTGCTGGCTACCATTTAACATCCAGCTGTTGGTAGTGATGGGATGTTCTCGCCCCTGGATCTCTGCAGAGGAGCCCAAGCTTTGACAACACATATCCCAGTCTCAGGATGTAATTCGTCTGTCACCCCCTGCCCTGTCCAGCACCCTGGGATTTTTCATGTCCCTTCTATCCAAAAATAATTTCCCCCTGATTTTTATGAGAATGAGCTTGTGAGTAACCTCAGTAAACTGTAGTGACTTGGTGTGACAGCCCTGTAAAATTTTCCCTGGTGACTTGGATAAGCACATGGAAAGGTAGGAGCAGAGAGCACCCCATTCTTCCTCAAGTGCAGTGCTTGGGGAGGGGGGTGATGCTTGGTAACTTGTGTTAAAACCCCACACTTTTAGCCAGAAGTGTGTTCTCTTATGTTTCAGATTGTGTCCAAGGGCATTCCCATGCAGGCAAGGAGGATACACACACCTTCAGGGAAAAAGTACTCTATCCCTTACGGGAAGAAGAACCAGGTACTGAAGATGCTTTGCAGGGCACAGGGGGCCTGTGTCTGGCATTTGTGCCTCTGTGTCATGGGCAGTCTGGGGCTCACGCTCTTGGGGAGGATGCAGGAAGGGGATTGCGTGACCCCCGGGTTCAGTGGGGCTGTTTGAAGGGGGGAGGGTTTCCTGTCTGGCCGTGCAGAGCAAAACTCAGCAAAACCTTCTGAACTCCCTGTTTGTTTGCCTTGCAGTACATTCTGTCTGTGGACAGAGCAAACTTAAACAAAGAGCTGCTGACAGGTAGGTTGTCACTTCTGTTTGCAAATATTTCTACACCCTTTTTCCTGAGGATTTCGGCTTTGCCCCATAACCAGCAGATTTTGGGCCCTAAGCTCCCTTACCTGGCTCTCAGAAAGTGCAAACATGAACTAGCCGTGTTTTTAAGAAGAAAACCTGTGCTGTTTCCCAGCTAAAGCAGGACATGCCTCCTCGTCCTTGTCATGCTTTGTGGCATTTTCCATGGCTCCTGATTGTACAGAGACAAATAGAAATTGGAGCACTATGGGCAAGTATATAATCGGAACAGGCCAAATTTCCAGCGCTTCCCCATTAACTGCAGGCACCTCATCCCATCCTGAAATTCAGTGGAGCGATGGTGGAAAGTAGTCAATGACTCATGTCATTTTGAGGAAGAAAGAAATCTTTGCAGGAGTCTTTGCATTTTTTAAATAGTTTTTACCATAGCTGATCAGTCCCAGTGTGCCCTGCCTGCTGGCCCTCACTCACCCAGCAAATTATTTCCTGTAATGGCAAACCCCCCTATAATTTAGGGATCTCTTGGAAATATTTTTGGAGTGACAGTAAACCCCTCTACATTAAGTTGTCTTTTCACAGCTGCTGAGAAGTACTCCAACACTAAGCTGTACTTTGGACACAAGCTTGTGGAGTGCAATGCAGAGTTGGGGATGTTATCCATAAAAAGGTAATCCCTGGGCAAGCGTGGGATCAAGTGTTGTGGTCAGTTAGTTTCTGCTTAATCATTCATACAACCTCAAACAATTGAGCAATCTTAGTGTTGAAACTAGTGTGTGTGTGTGTGTGTGTGTAAGGTGTCCCTGCCCGTGGCAGGGGGTTGGAACGAGATGAGCTTTTAGGTTCCTTCCAACCCAAATCATTCTGTAATTCTGCGACCTTGTTTCATAGTTAGGTGAAGTTCTGGTTATGACCCAACCCACCTGGGCATGCAGGCTCAGCAGTGTTACCCCAAGGCTGTCTGCTGCATTGTTGGGTACAGCTGGCAGAGTTATGCTTTTGATAACCTACAGGATAATTATTTGTCCTAACACTGAGCTTCCCAGGCCATGAAAGCCAATCTTCCCTCGCCCCAGAAGATTAATAACGCCGGAGGTGACCCAGTCATTTTGCAAAAGGTGCTGAGCTGTCCTGGAGTTACAGCAAGATTAATCATAAAATCATAGAATGGTTAGAGTTGGAAAGGACCTTAAAGATCAGATTGATCCAAGGGACTCTCTTTGCTTTCAGATCTGACCAGCAGACCTTGGAAGTCACCTATGACCTCATTGTGGGCTGTGATGGAGCCTTCTCAACAGTCAGAAAACAGTTCATGAGGCAAACACGCTTTAACTACAGTCAGCAGTACATTCCTCATGGCTACATGGAGCTGACCATCCCTCCCAAAGATGGAGATGTAAGTGTGCCTGTCCCAGAGGCTGCTGTGACCTTTGCAGCTTGGACACCCTGCCCCCTTCTCATGGTGGCTCTGCTAGAACAGCTTTAGAGAAACTAATTTCTTACCTGGGGTTCAGGAAAGGGGTTAAACCTTTCCCGGGAGAAGGCAGGGATCTCTTCCTCTTCCAGAGGTTGGTACCTGGCTGCAAAAATCCTAGAGAGCCTGTCCTGGAGCATTGGGGTTAACTCCAGCTCTGAGAGGTCCTGAGGGTATGGGAACATGTCTGAAAGGGTATCAGCAACTGCAGAACAGCAGATTTTTTTCCATTTTTCCCATATTTCTTACCCTTTCCTCTTCCCATGTGTCTCCCTGAAGCATCAGGTACCAGACAGGGGCCCTGTAGTTGTTGTGTCTTCTCACGGTACAAAGAATGGGAACTGGTGTCAAGGATACAAGGTGATTTTCTCTTCTCTTTCAGTTTGCCATGGAACCAAACTACCTCCATATCTGGCCGAGAAACACCTTCATGATGATTGCACTGCCCAACATGGTGATAACCCATGGCCATGCTCTCTCGGGGCACAGGATGGAGCTGGTGGGGATGAACTGGCTGTGGTGGCCGGGACTGGGAGGGCCAAAAATCATAGAATAACAGACTCACAGGATCAATTAGGTTGGAAAAGACCCCTGAAATCGTTCAGTCCAACCTATGACCAAACACAACCGTGTCAACTAGTTCATGGCACTGATGCCACTTCCAGGTTTCCTTAAACACCTTCAGGGACGCTGAGTTTACCACCTTCCTGGGCAGCCCATTCCAATACCTAATCACCCCTTCTGTGAAGAAATTCTTCCTAATGTCCAATCTAAACCTGTCCTGGCACAGCTTAAGACTACATCCTCTCCTGTCGCTGGTTGCCTGGGAGAAGAGCCCAGCCTCCACCTGGCTACACCCTCCCCTCAGGTAGTTGTAGGGAACGAGAAGGTCTCCCCTGAGCCTCCTCTTCTCCAGGCTGAACAACTCCAGCTCCCTCAGCCTCTCTTCATAGGGCTTGTGCTCCAGATCCTTCACAAGCCTTGTTGCCCTTCTCTGGGCCTGCTCCAGCCCCTCAATGTCCTTCCTGAACTGAGGAGCCCAGAGCTGGACACAGCACTCCAGGGGTGGCCTCACCAGTGCCAAGTACGGGGGAGGAATCACTTTCCTGGTCCTGCTGCCACACTGTTCCTAATACAGACCAGAATGCTATTGGTCTTCTTGGCCACCTGGGCATGCTGCTGGCTCCTGTTCAGAGAAGGTGCCAGGAGGGACACCCACCCCTCTCACAGCCTGAGGTGGAGCCAGTCCTGCCTCCTGTGCTGAGCAGGTACCTGTGACACCTCTCGCTGCCCACGTGTCTGAGCCCACCCAAACCCCCCAAAACAGCCCTCTGCAGCTGGATACCAGGAGCACCAGGACAGTGTGCCAGGCCCATGCTGGCCAGTCACACACTGCCTGGTTCTACCTGCCCGCTGCCTGCCCTGAGCGTGGGCAAGCCCACCATGGGAAAGGGGGTGGCCGGGCACTCGTCCTTTTCCTCTCCAGTGGGTCACTGCTATTGCCAGGTGACAGGCTGAGCAATGAGCTGCTGCTCCACGTGCCACCTGCTCTCTGTGGTCTCTGGACTTCTTACTGACCTTCCTCCCCGGCTGGCAGGACAAGTCCTTCACCTGCACGCTCTTCATGCCCTTTGAGGAATTTGAGAAGCTCACGACGGGGGACCAAGTGCTGGGCTTTTTCCAGACCTACTTCCCAGATGCCATCCCCCTCATCGGAGAGTAAGTGTTCTCATCTCCCCTTCTCTCTCATCAACACAGTGCTGTGAAGCCAGGGAACAAATCACTCAGCCTCGGGCCCTGGTGATGGGGTTGTGATGGATCCCCCTATGTGGACTCTCTCACTGCTGGGCAAATGGCACAAGGGCAACAGCACAGAGTTGGAGTATCCCACCCCTCCTGGGGGCCCTGATGGCAGTGGGGACCAGGACCAGCCTTTCCAGTACATGTTCTGATGGCTGTGTCTCTGTTCAGTACATCCTCATTTTCCTGCTGAGAGGGAAGCCTCCCCACACAGTGGAAGCTCCAGCTCACACTATTAATGCTTCTGCTTTGCAACACAGCTATCTGTTATGGGATGGGCTTTTTTTGGATTATATCAATGGTCTCAGCTGTGTTTGGCAGTTTTCTTTCCTCTTAAGACTTATTGCAGGACTTCATATTAACTGAGAAACTGAGATATTCTCTGGTATATCCTTCCTACAACGACCAACGTCCACCACTGCTCACAGTAAGAGGACCAAGATGTCAACACTCAAATTGTGTGCAGAGCTTGAAACCTGCAGACAAAACCTTTGGTCCATAGGGAGAAAGTTAATGAAATAGATTACCTGGCTCCCACATTTTTCCCAGCACAAATAGCCTAGGACATGGGTTTGGGTTTTGCATCCCAAGGCTGACGGTGCCTTCCTGAGCTGGGACGTGGCATGACTTGCACTTCTTCTCTCTTGTGGTCCCACAAGTGAAGTATCTGTTGTTTTGCCTGAAGGCAAGAGCTGAAGCATGACTACTTTGTGCTGCCAGCCCAGGCCATGGTATCTGTGAAGTGCTCTTCCTACCACCTCGCTTCCCGGTGCGTGCTGATGGGAGATGCTGCGCACGCTGTTGTGCCCTTCTACGGACAGGGCATGAATGCGGTAGGTTCAGGGCTGGCCCTGGTCCCTGTTAGTGGGGTCCCCACTCTTTTCACCCACAATTACCTGGTTTTAGTGTATAGGTCCACAGAGTTCGTGGGCTGGCCTGTCCCACAGCCTGATGTCCTCTGCATTGGCAGGTGTTGAGCTCCAGTCAGGGTGTCCTCCTGGGGAGGAGAGGGGACAGGGCAGTGATGCTACCTTCTCATCAGGCAGAGGACTGTGTGGGAGGGGGTAAAGGCTACTGGGAAAGGCAATCCCCTGGATTTCTCTCAAGACCCCTGGCAGAGTGGCCTGGAATAAGACTCCCACCTGAGGCTGTAGTTAGTGGGACCAAAAGCTACGCTAGCTAAGCATTCATGGGAGCGCTTCTCATGAACATGTGGCTCCTTATGCCTATTAACCCCCTAATTTTCCTCCCAGGGTTTTGAAGACTGTCTGGTCTTTGATGAATTAATGGACCAGTTCCACAACGACCTTGGTGAGTGAGGTGGCTGGGGAGGAGCGAGAGCAGAGGAACACCTATCTGAGGATGAGGGCAGCTGGATACCCTGCAGCCTGTGAACTGTTGCTTTCTTCTGCCAGGTGCCTGCCTCCCTGAGTTCTCCAGACTGAGGGTACCAGATGACCATGCGATTTCAGACTTAGCCATGTACAACTACGTGGAGGTAGGCACACGGACCTGTGGTCCCACGGGCCGTGCACACAGCAGTACTCTTAGGATGCACACAGCAGGCAAGATCCCTGCAAGACTCTGGGCTCTCACCCTGGCAGACTTTAGCCTCAGAACTCCTTGGGAATGCCACTGGGGCTAGGGAGGCTCTGTGTGACCTCTAGGACAGGCAGTAGAAGAGCTAGCAAAGCGCGGGGGAGCTCTGCCAAAATTCCTGGCAAAGGCACGACTGTTGCTCTGTTGCAGATGCGTGAGCACGTGAATTCAACGTGGTTCATTTTCCGGAAGCACGTAGACAACTTTCTCCACACCCTCATGCCTTCCACTATTGTCCCGCTGTACACCATGGTAAGGCCAGTGTGTCCCCACTGCCTGGGCTGCCACCAGCTCCTCCTGGCTGCCTTTGTGGTGGTGACAACGCTCCTGCAACCCTCCCAGGTGACCTTCACCAGAATTCGCTACCATGAGGCACTTCAGCGCTGGAAATGGCAGAAAAAGGTTGGTGAAGGGTGCCCTCGGGAGCATCCTGCACGCCAGCACTGCTCAGCTGCCAGGGGAGCTCTGGTGGTGGGATATCGCCAGGTGGGAGCAGGTGTGACGACTTCGCTTGGTGCCGCAGGGCAGGAGCAAACCTCTGATGATGTTGAGGTTTCCCTTTGCACTCGCAGGTAATTAATCGAGGGATCTTTGTCACGGGGGTGGCAGGACTGGCTGGCACCTACCTACTGATCAAGCATCTGGCACGGAACTCGGACTTCTGTGTGGAAAACTTGTGGGGCTGGTCCCATTACCTGAAGAGTATTAGAAATTTTCCCTTTGGCACACAAGTGGCTGAAATGTAAGGGGAGCTCCTTGTAATAAAAGCGAAGGCATGGGCTGTCAGCTCAGCTGGGTGATGTTGTTTCTCTTGGGATGTGGCTTGGCAGCTGCTCCAGCCCCTCAGAAGCAGTTTGGTCTCTCTCCCTCTGCCCAGGTGAGAGGAGCCCATCAGGGCACAGAGTGCTCAGGGAGCCTGTCCAGGGGCTCAGGTGTGTGTCTGCCTCATCTTGGCAGCCTGCTCCCAAGTGCTGTGGTGTGTAGATGTGGCGCTTAGGGATATGGTTTACTGGTGGACCTGGCAGTGCTGGGTTAACAGTTAGACTCAATGACCATTTTTCCCAACCTTAGTGATTCCATGATTTTATGACCTGATCGGTGTGTGCCAGCCCGCACTGCAGACTGCTGCTCTTACCAAAATCAAGCCAACATCTTGGGGGTCCTCAAGCCAAAAAATAGCAGCAGGCTGGGATAGTGCTGGAAGGAGTATCAGGCACGCTTTCCTTCTTCATACCTTGCCCTAGACCCTCACAGTCACTGTGGAAGAACAACAAAATGGCCAAAATAAACCCCTGATTTGAGGCAGCACAGTCACTCTTGTTTGAGGTGGTTTACATACAGCTGCCAGCAAGTGGGCAGGGACAAGAACTGCTCTGCATCATTCAGTGAGTCGGTTTTTGCTTGCAAGGGAGCACCTTGCAGGGCATAGATGGCAAATTAGTGTAGAAGACAGCTTGTTTCTCTGGCCAGCATCTTTCCAAGCCACTGTACCCATGGGAGATGGTGGCAGCAATGACAGGGTGTGGCTGTAGTTTCTCCAATGAACACTTCAGCTGCTGCCCTTGCACCTAATTCTTAGAAGGATAGATGTATTTACTTTTCTTATGACCTGCCCCAGAAAAAGGGGAGGGGGGTAAACCAGGTTCCTATCAATAATTCCCTTGGAGTGAATTAGAGTGAAATGACACTGAATAATCGGTGTCTGAAAACATATATAGGTAGGGTTTATTTTAACAATTTTGTTTTAACAGGTATGTTAGCATTTTGGGTGTTATCATCTATATTATCTATCATAGGCATAAACCCTGGGGGGGAAATGCAGAAGGGAGAGAAAGGAAAGACAGGATAAGGGTAAGGGAGAGTAAGGAAAAGAAAAGCTGAGAGTGGACAGATGTCTATAGTCACCGCCCACAGGGTCCAGAGATGGAACCTGGTAGTTGCAGCTTCCATGTCTGTCAGTTGAAGTGGTGGCCTTGATCCGTTGGGGGTGCAGGAGGGAAGCCCCCACACTCCAAGAAGTTATGAGTTACTATATCCATGGTTAGTGTCACAGGCCATGCCACGAGCCTCCAGCATCTCCTGGGTCTGTGCTGAGTTTCTGTGAGGGGTCTGGCAAAAGGTTTTTTCCAGCCTTTCAAGATTGGGGGGGGGGAGGGAGTGGACTTTGATGAGCCATCAGAGGTATAATGCAAAAGTCCTGCAGAAGTCTGCAAAAGTCCCTTGACAATCCTAGAATGCATAAATCATTAACCGTTTCAGTCTCTGACAACTTTATATATTAAATCTTTATTCACGTTAAACCCCTTCAGAGAGCAAATGAAGACGTGACACACTACAACCATATGCAAATTAATCCCAAACTGAAAGCAAATAAGGAACTGTACCGCTGTTTCACAGGAGCAACCCCACAATGTGAGAGCAATTGGCTGCTGTGTGTGGTTGGGATAAGTGCTGAGCAGGAGGTGCTCCAGGCACTGCCAGGTGTTTTGCACAGCTGGCTCTTGGTATGTCTGACCAACTCAAAGAGCAGGGAGAAGATCATGCCCTGAGGGGTGTTGGAAGAAGCTGTGTCTGAGCTCCAATCTGCACAGAATTTTTCAGCTGCTCAGTGCCAAGGTTTCATAGATCAAACAGTGGCTCTTTCACCTCCCTGCTGTGCAGAGGACTTCAAGGCATTATGGAGGCAAGCCAGGCATGCAGGAGCCCAAGCAGAACCTAGCCTGAGGTAGGTCTGAGAGGAGCACATCAGGAAACAGTTGATGATTTGGGAAAAAGATTCAGTGCATGTTCCCCAGCTGCTCTTCATCCCTAGGTAGAGGTGCTTACTAGCCCTTAGGGCACATCGCATCACTGCAGCCTCCAGAGCAGACTGCCAGCCCAGAGGACCCTCCACATCCTACTCAGCAGTGATTTCTCTGGAAACCAGTGCATAGTGGTGGAGACCAGTTCAGCAGGGGAGGGCATGGAGCAGCCTAGGAGCAGATCCTGCTGGAGCAGAAGAGACATGGCAGTTTTGAAATCCCAGCTCAAAATCAAAGCTGGAAGCACTCTGTGAGCTCGGCTGGCTTTGGGGCTCGGTGTTTAAGACTCCTGGTAGAAGGCAAAGTTGTCAACAGGAGATGAGACAGTCAGTGACCAGTCCAGGAGCTGCTGCATGTTCCCATGGTGAGGCCTGCTCTGCAGTCCCATCCACAGCAAAGCTGTGTCTGTTCCCTTCTCCCATCCCCACTAACCCAACCATCGAGCACTAGGCCAGGACGCTGGCATGGCACAGTCCCTCAGCCAGCACCTGACGTGGAAGAAGGGAACAAACCACAGGATAAAGAAGAGGAGGTGGGAGCCTTAGTTTAAGATTTCCTTAGTTTGAGGTTTCTTTAGCTTGGCATTTCCTTATTTAACGGTGGGTCCCAGCGCTGCCAGGCATTGCCTCATTCGTTAAACCTGGGGTTGACAACAGTGGTGGTGGCACTCTTGAAGAGGGGATTATCAGCCTGAAGGGAGAGAAGTGAGAGGCTTGTGTTGTGCTGTGTTACCTGCCCAACACCTCCCAGTGCCATGGGCACAGACAGCACTGGCAGAAGAGCCCACAGGCTGTTTAGCTCCCTCCAAACTGCAGCTGGTCTGAACAACAGGCCAGTGGGGAGGGCTCAGGTCTACCTGGCTACCTCTGGGAAGGATGTCCCCTCCTGCTGTCCCCACCCCAGGATACATGACCATCCCAGCACACCCCGGTGCCACAGACGGGCTCTCTTACGTCATTCCACTTGGCTTTGGACTTCTCCTTCTCAAACCGGCGGTATTCCCGGCGGTCAAACAGCTCTGTCAGGCACCGCCAGATGAGCAGGACCACCAGGCCAATGAGGACCACGCCAGCAATGGTGCCACCCACAATGAGCGCGATGTTGGGAGGCTCCGGGCACTCTGCGGGGCAGGCAGACCATGCTGGGCTGCAGCAAGGTGAAGCAGCAAGGCTGCCACGACAGGGCTGGCAGCCTGCCTGTGGCAGGGCAGGGGAAGCGGGGCCGGGGTACCTTTTTCAGGTTCGATGTAGACGGTGTATATATCGTCACCATCCTCCTGGAACATATGGAAGGACATCCAGCAGTTCTGGGAATCCTTCTCCCTGCATTTCCTGCTGCCCTTGATCAGCTTCTCGGACTTCCGGATGTTGGGGCAGGCCTGGGAGCAGTTCTTCTCAAAGGGGCCGCTCCCGAAGGCCTTGCACTCCACACAGGAGCTGCAAAACAAGCAGCCACAGCTCACATTTGCAGGGGCACAGACCCACTCACCTGGCTTTGGCCGCAGCTGGGCTCTACCCAGGAGCAGGCAGGGCTTGCCTGCCCCTGCCTGGGATACTGGGGATCTCTGCTGCCCCCGTGCCCTCTCCGTGCGCGTCACTCACACGTATCTGCCACAGGGGGAAGTGCAGCCTGGGCATTCCTGGCAGAAGGGGGGCTGGTACCCGCCCCGGCACTGGCAGCGGTTGCAGAGGCAGGTCCCGCGGAGGCTGCACACGTTCTTGTTGGCGTTCAGGCAATCCTCCGTCGACTGACGGCACTGGCAGGCACCGCCCTGGTACCCAGGCTCGCAGATGCACTGCCCGCAGTAGCACTTCCCGCGCTCTGGGGGGGGGGAAGACCTTTCCGATTCTGCAGCCATCCAGGTGACCCTCCCTCTGCCTGTGCCTGGAGAGCATCACCCACCCTGCGCTCGCCACGCCACCCTCCACGAGATGCTCAAGGAGGTCCTCCGGGCTGGCGTGGTGGGACCCAGCAGCCTCAAACCCATGCCCTCAGGTTATGACATGAAAAGGCATTAAATTCTTCTAAACAGCGCCTCACCTGGGCCGCCGCAGGGGAAGCCGTTGTGGAACTCGCAGTTCGTGCTGTCGCACTCGCAGTAGGTGCCGTAGATCTCCCTGCCGGGCACGTCGCTGGTGTGGCAGACGCACTGCCCGCACACACAGTCCCCCAGCCCCGAGCAGATCAGTGAGCTGTTGTCCTTCCGGCAGCTGCCCTCCAGCTCCTTGCTGGTTTTGCCTTTGGTGTCACACTCGCAGTTCTTCCCCGTGTAGTCTGGGTTGCAGCTGCCGCCAAAGGGGAGGAGTGAGCTCAGGTCAGCGGCCACCCGAAATGCCGTGGGACATGCACGGGGCCCAGACCTCTACCGCAGCAGAGCAAATCTGGGACAGCCCCACAGGAAACCAGCGTTGGTTAGCATGTTGGTGCTAAATCCATGCTGCAGCAGGGTGGCTGACTGGGAGGAAACCTCAGAAATGCTGCTTCCCCCCCGTCATACTCACAACACCAAATGGTTGCCCAGAAATTATTGTTATAATTTCCAAACCTTGCCAAGGAGATCTGAGTATTTCCTGAGGAAACCCCATCTCTTCCTCTCCCTGTCACCGAGGGGCCATGAAGAAATAATTATACTAAAAGGCTTAAGTGAACTGCAGCCCAGAAGTGTCATTTTGAGAGATTTCTACAGAAACCTGTGTCTGCTCAGTAGGTAGGTTGGTGGATGCTTTGATATTGGGATGGATGGTTGCCTAGTTGTATGGATGGAGGTCCTTGGGAAAGCAGCAGAGGCTCCACCAACAGAAGTGGCAGCTCACTGTGTCCCCTGCCTCTCTGAATGCAGGGTACAGTTCCAAGGGAAATGCATGAATCCACTTCCCCAAATAAAAAAATCTGTGCAAAGGTGCAGAGCCCAGGCCCTGGCTTGGCTCAACATCTCTCTCCCAGCAGCTCCCCAGATCTGGCAGCATTTGAAATAGTGTTTTGGGCAGTGC